ATGAGATACAGACCTTTTACAGAAGATCATGCCACCTACATTGCTAATCCATTGATCTTTTTGGTAAAAGGAGTATCATGAATACTTTGTATTTTAGAACCAAGATAAATTTCCCCTCCCCCACGATTCATCCATCAAGTTGCCTGGTATTTCCTATTAAAGCAGAAAAGGAAATTCCTTCCTGACCTTGCAAATGATCATTTTCTTTCTTGAAGCATGAGATTTGATTGCCCTTGCAATCTGGCTCACACTTACTGCCTGCACTGTGAATAACAGTTCCTTTCTCAGTCATAGTGTTTGACTCTATGACCTCCCACAGAAATGAATTCCAGGCACAGACGGTGCATTGGAAAATGGAGATGGGAGTTCTTTGATACTAGATGTTCAAAGTATTGAGCTAGGAGCATCCTGCTCTGAATTCTCTATAAATGCAAATCTAGCTGGGTCACAGAGGAGGTATCCAAATAAGTCTCGGGAAGCATTTGCCCTATAAAACCGTACTTAAAAATCCCAGAGTGGATAGCAGGTGTAGCTTTTTGTCCCTACCTGGATTAGAGGAAATGGAGAATATTTTGCCAGTAAGCGTGGCTGGAGGAAAGCAAGCCATTTTGGTAAATTACTAATTCAGACTTGTTTTCAGAATATGTGATATTGATGGAACCAGGGTAAAAGTTGAACTTTGCTTTATTCTTTGATAATAAAAATATTTGTATGGTGCTTTGTAGTTTATGATGTGATTTTTCTGGGTTAAAGTTATCTCATTTGATTTTCTTAACAGTCCTCAAAGTAGGGAAGTATTATTGTTATTGGCACAAGTTCCCAGTAATTATGAAAATAATTTTAGGAGGGAATACATAAAATACTCAGGAAAGCAACAGTTTTGAAGTGTTCTCAGATTCTTTGGAAGGGCTTATTTGCATATAAACAGAGTGCTCGTTATCAATCAAACTTATCAACTCTTTTATGCATCCAAAGGAGGTTTACCACAGTTTGAACAAAATGACATTGTTCAATATTTGTCCTTATGTGCATGGCTTATTTCACTTGGCAAAGTGTTTTCAAGGTTCCTCCGTATCAGTATATCAGTAGTATGTGTCAGAATTTCCTTCCTTTAGGGCTGAGTAATATTCTATTACATGTAATACCACCTTTTATTTATTGATTCTTCTGTCAATGGACATTTGGGTTGCTTCTACCTTTTGGCTGTTGTGGTTATGGATACTTTTAATTGAAGAATTTTATTATTTAAAATGCTACTGAATAATCTCAGTAGGTAAACTTATTTTTATAAGGTGATTTAAAATGTAGATATGATTTTTTCCATAATTATTTTTATTATCATCCATTATTGTTCCTTTGAAATACTCAAGAGTATTTTATTGGCAAATATTTATTGCCTTAACTTGAAAGTCCTGTAATACGTTGAGTACCTATGAGCACTATGGCTTAGATACTGAAAAGACAGACATGGATAGAGGAGATAAATGTGGAGATAGTCATAGCCAAATATAGTATGCAGATTTGAATTGTTTGACCTGCACAGTATGTATAAATTAAAAAAAAATTAGTTGCTGATATCTAGAAATCAGGAGATTTTTACTTTAAATTCTAGATTTTGGTTTCTCAGAAGATCTGGAACATCTGGCAATATCCTAGACCACTTTTCCACATGACAACATTTTGTGGGGCTGAGTGGCAGCTGCCACCTTTAGACAGAATTCCTACTCTTCAGTTGAACATAGATGCTATATTATCTGCTTTTCTCATTTTTACGTTCCTAGCCAACAGAACTCTTCTCTGGAGCTGTGCTGTACTTGACACGTGGCTAGTCCAAGTGAGACATGCTGTAACTGTGAAAGTCACACTGGATTTCAAAGATTTGGCCTGAAATAGGATGGCAAAATATTTCATTAATAATTTTTGTATTGATTGTGTTTTTAAATGGTAATATTTTGGTTAAATAAATAAATTACTAAAATAAATGTAACTTGTTTCTTCTTACCTTTTTAAAAATGTGGCTACTAGACAATTTAAGATTACATGTGTGCCTCACATTAGAGTTCTGTTGGACAGTACTACTCTTGATGGTCATGGCCTAGTACAGGGGTTGCTAAACAATAGTGCATGAGCCAAATCTGACTGGTTACCTGTTTTGGTATGATCCCCAAGTTAAGAATGATTTTCACAGGTGAATATTTGCAATTTTTTTGATTATAGGGAACATTTAGCTTTGAACCCCAATTAAGTGAAATGGTATTCCCCCCCTCAAAGAATTTTATTTTTCTCATTAGTAGACTTGTAGTACAAAACATTGTACTCAATTATTATTATTATATTTTGAATTTCCTCAAAAGTTTATGAAAATTTGTTTTTTTTTCTCTTGTTATTCAAGTTCCTATATTTTATCCTTGTTGTTCCTTCTTGGTATGCAAAGCCTAAAATATTTACTATCTGTCTTTTTACAGAAAAAGTTTACTAACCATTGGTCCAATAGGAAGCTGATGCAGGCAGCTTTCCGAGGAAGTTAAGCATAGTGGAAATGCTCTGGATTCTGATAGGCAAGGGTTCCAATCTTATCAATTGATCTATTCTCTGAGTCTTAGTTTTCTTATTGTAAAATGGCAATAATGATTCCTTTCTGAATTGTTTTGAAGATTAGGTAAGATACTGTACAAGATGTTTTGTGGAATAGGTGACTAGCGCTTCCTCTGCCTAGAATGCTGTTCCTTGTTATACCTGAGTTGGTGACTTCTTGCCTATCTTTAGCATAGTAACATTTCTAGCTAAGAGAAGTATTTCTTGCTCTGGCCCCAAGCCTAGGTTAGCTCTCCCTGGAAATCCTGTCCTTTTTTTATGCTTATTATACTTACTGCTGTTTGTCCCACATCTATCTGCTTTCTAAGATTTTAAGGTCTATGAGGGAAGCGTCTTGATAACCAGTGTTTTCTAGGACTAACACATAATAAGTATTCAATATTTTTTTTGAGTGATGTTGATGCAAAATGCTGTACATATGACACAGAAAACTAGAAGAATTCAGAGGGAAGAGATTTGTTTTTTCCACAGAGATTTCAAAGTTTGTGTCTAGAGATTTTGGCCATGTTTTAGGACGTATAATTTAAACATGCTTTATTATTCCCTTCTACAATACTTGGATTTTCTCACTCATCTTTCTTAAAGATGAGTGAGGAAATGCAAGTAAAACACTAAACACAGTGCCTGGCACATAGTAAGGCCTCAACAAATTTTCTCTTCTCTGATGGTGGATGATGATGATAAATCAGAATACTGAACATAAAAATAAGCAAAGTATCTATGTACTTGATAAAATTGAGAGATCAAAAATTTTGGAGAACGGAAGGGAATCCATTTTCGAGAAAGTAAATTAGTCATTCCAGCACCCAAATTCAAACCACTCTCATCAACAAAAGTCAACTTTATTTTTTTAATGAACAGGATTTGAAGTATAGGACAGTAAAAACTTAGAATCCAGATCAACTCCTGAAAACCAAAACTAAATTTTGTCCTGAGTTTATATATTAGTTACAAGTTTATATGATAAATGTCTATGTGTCAAAATGTTTCTGGTCAGAATGACAACTGGCAGTTGTGGCTCCTTTCCCTTCAGAACACGAGGCTTAACAGATGGGAAGAAAAAGCACGTAGTAGGGTCCACGTTAGCCTTTGCCAACAGGAATGGACACTAAGGCTCTAGAGAGGGTGGAGCTGATAATAAAATGCAGCCTCAGGGTTCTCTCTTACAGCCTTACCTAACCTTGTAATGGAGGTCACCCATTATATTTTAAATTTCTGGAATTTCTTTTGAGAATTCTATGTATTCCAGCCATAGTTTTCCAAGTCTTCAGCTTTATTCAGTTTAACCAATATTTGTCAAGTATCTACTGTGTGCTGGGCATTAAGGATATAGAGTTGAATATAGATTCAGAAACTACTTTAGAGGAGCTCAGAGTCTGGTGGATGAGATCAGTGTGCAAGACACACCAATTCACTGCATAAGTGCTGTGATAGCACTCTGCACAGTTACTGTAGAAGCATCAAAGACGGGCTCCCATGCCTGGGACCTAGAACCAATCAAAGCAGTCTTCCTGGTCGAGGTAAACCAGAGTCAGAGGGTGTGTGTGTGTGTGTGTGTGTGTGTGTGTGTGTGTGTGTGTGTGTGTAAGGGAGGTGGTGGTAGTATAACCTAGAGTTATGGCCATCTATTTTTATCCTTGTAACTTTCTTAACCCACAATAAAACTCGAGGTTATAACACAATGAATATGGTGGTAATTCTCAGTGGTGGTGGAGAAAGCTCAGAATGGGATAGGGGATGTAAAGAATGGATCTTGAGATTCTCTCACAATATCGGGGTGTAGGGGCATTGGTGAGTAGCTGTAGAAATGGAATTTTGGTGGCATGGAATAAGGCCAAGTCAGAGTTGTGGACAAAGATGAGAAATGAGGCAAGGGAAGAGGAAGAAGCCAGATAATAAGGCCATGATAAGGAGCATGGGTTTGTATCCTGTGAGCAGTGGGGAGTCACTGAAGAGTTTTGAGTGGATAGTGACATAGTAAGATTTTTGCCTTAGAGCCTAAAAACAGGCTAAATAAAAAATGCAGATATGTGTGGTTTTTGCCTGTTCAAGATTTTTAAAGTTTTTGATCAAGTACTGAGAAAATATCCAAACTTTAGGACTGTATTCTCGTATGGCAACAATATGATGGAGATCAGTAGCAGTTGACCCATTGGATGAAGGATCTATTGTCTTTCTCTCAGGGACCACACATTAAAGCTCATGGAAGGGTTCTGTTCCAATTTTGATCACTCCGGAACAGGTCAGGGTGAATGCTGTTTTGTGATTATTCAGGACTGAACCAGTTGCCCCGCCCTATAATGGCAGAGTTTGTCATGATTATTATCTCTTAACCAGGACCAAATGGAACAGGAAAAGAATCAGTAACCTTAACGATGGCCAAGGGTGCAGAGTGGAGAGTATAGGCCCATCCTAGTAGATGGAAAGATAGTAAATACCTAATCGTACAAATGTATGAGCTGGTGTGC